CAAAGTTTATAAAGAGATTTATTAACTCGATAGTGTGGGCGCAAGGACGGGACAAGAATTTTCTCTAGTACCAAGTTGAGCTAATGTACTTTACATAATTTTGCGTTTGTTCTCTACTACCGTTGACTTTTTATTACATGTTTGACCGTTCGTCTTATTCAAAAAATTTAAGTAATTATTAATTATTTTCCTATCATTTGATTCATTGTTAAATATATTTTTATGTATGCATATAATTTTACATATCTTATAAAAGTTTTAATAAGACGAACGGTCAAACATATGCTAAAAAGTCAACGGTGTCAAAATTTCAAAACGGAGGGAGTATTTTTTAAAGATCTTTTGAAGAGTAATTGGGATGATTATTCGAGCTTAGGAGTAGGCCAGATAATCATCGGACAAGGCCCATCAGAAAAGACACATATCCTATAACTAGGCCAGATAAAGCGGGCCCATTTAGGCCCATTATGTTAGAAAATAAGAATTGATGTACATGCCCTGATGTACCAACTCCTGAAAATGGCTAGAAATGTAAAATCACCACCTAAGCCAAATGGGGACGGTGTTATGGAGAGATCCATAACAAATTACTCCGTAGAAGAAAAGGCTTAGCTGTCTAATAATTAAACTTGGACCGAACATTCGATCCCTAGTTTTTCTTATTAACCAAGTGGTTTTTACGTTTTTTTCCGAAAGAGACACCAAAAGATACCACAATTTTGAATATTATCTTATACTGTATCTTTTAGTAGTTAGGCCATGTCTAGATTTCAACTTTTTTCTTTAAACTTAGAACTTTTTCATCACATCGAACTTTCCTATACATAAACTTCCAACTTTTCCGTCTTCAAACTTTCAATTTTAACGTGGAACTAAACACACCCCATTGAAATTGAAACGAAGTGACGGAAATGTTAGAAGTTTATATGTATAGAAAAGTTTGATGTGACATTTTTGGGTTCAAAGTTTGAATCTAGACGGGCCATATCAACTGTTAGAGACAAAAAAATTGCATTACTTCAGCTGTGTTTAGTTCCTGAATTTGAGGAGAAGTTTAGGAAAAGTTGGTAGTTTGAAAAAAAAAGTTAGAATTTTATGTGAGTATGAAAGTTTTAAATGTAATATGATACAATAGAAAGTTTGAAATTTAAGAAAAGTTTAGTATGAACTGAACAGGGCCTTCTTTATAACTTGTGCGCAGACAAACCAGCCGCTACCTACTTGCTAGCTACTCCAATGCTAGAAAATATAACAATTGCTTTTGTCATACCAAACGGGGAGATCAGGACCAAGCTAGCAGTCCACCAATGCTGCCTAGTTTGTGAGGAGCATGCATGAATGCAAGTTTATGCAACTCTGCATGCTTCACACGTGTAAGGGGCTTCGTCAGCTTCTTATATCGATTTAGCCGCCGTGCATTGTGTGTGTTCTTTTGTGTGCGCAATGTGACACATCTCGTCCTTGAGATCATCGCGAAGATATATCGATTTCCGCAAGACATGGCAGATTAGCGGCATCGTTGATCAGCTAGATCATGATTAAGTGTCAAGTACTAGTTCAGACTATTGTGTGGGTTTTCTTAATAAAAAGGCCAGATCATTATTTCAATATAATGGTCTTTCCCTCTAAAAAAAGTACTACAGTAGTAGTTCAGATGTTCTCTGACAAAACAAGAAAGGAACGCATAGTGCTACTCCTAATAAGTTTAAGTTAGTTAGGGCACGTTAAAATTGGAAGTTTGGTTGAAATTGGAATGATGTGATGGAAAAGTTGAAAGTTTATGTGTGTAGAAAAGTTTTAATGTGATGGAAAAGTTAAAAGTTTGAAGAAAAAGTTTGAAACTAAACTAGGCCTTAGATCACTTGGGAAGCAGTGAGTGCACAGCCTTTGGGTCTAACGAGCGGCAATATATACGAATAATGGCAACTCTTCTCCATGCTTAAGATTGGTGAACAGCTATTATTTGTAATGACACGAATCTACTGAAGTGTTTATTACCATTAATTGTCCTGAACAACTACTTCAGAAGGGCCATTCTTGATGCTAGATTGGTGAAGTGATGACTCGGTCAGAGCAAGAGTACTGTACACGTACGTATGATTCCACTAACAGTAGCGCAATTTGATGAAGCTACCTAATCGATCTTTAGTTGTTTACCCTCACGGCACTTTATCTTGGAGTTAAATATAACACGCATGCATGCGTCAAACTACTGGGCAGTTTTGATTGGTGACATCACTGTAAACAAACAGGACACCCCCCAAATTTGATTTCATTGTAAGGAACCCAGGATCGAGTTCGATCGAAACAGAGTCCCAGGCCGGACTTGGATTAATCCATGGATGTTGATCGAGTTCCAACCAATGGTTGGTAACCGATCGATCCATGTATAGATCAAACGTCGCAAAATGAGAAATTGAGGAGGCAGATTAAGCTATTAGCGATCGAGGAATTGAAGAAGAGATCGATCGGTGGCATGAACAGCAACGTACCGTGGCATCGCTTGATGACCCTCTTGACGAAGTGCGGGTCCTTGGGCCGCTCCGGCAACTGGAAGTCGTTGACGCTCAGCCGCCACCCCTCCGCCGCCGCCGCCTGCTTCTCCCCGCCGTCGCCCATGCCGATGCCGGCCGGCAACTACTACGATCGAGCGAAGACGACGACGAACTGCTCGCGCGCGCGGCGTCTGTTTGATATACAAGTTAACCGCCTAACTGGTTCACGAGACATGCAAGGAGGAGTAACTGATTTGGCTGACTTGCGGCCCGTAATTATTGGCTTTCTTCTTATCAGAAAACTACGAAATTAATGAACCGGATGGAGGCAGCAAGAAGTGGCACGGTTAAGAGTGACGCGATGGGTTTTTTTTGTTGCCGACCTCGCGTCACCGATCGATCGAGCGTCTTATTTATCAATGCGTTTCTTCTCATCAGCGTCACGCTTCGCTCCTTTTCAGCTGCTCCCTATTGCAAACATACACACACCAGCCATTCATAGACAAATACTTATAGTTTGTTAATCAAATTAAGTGGGACATGACGATGCAGATGAGACACGGCGCGCACTCCTGTGCAGCGGCGCGCGGTACGGTTTCGAGGCGGTTTTTACGCCTTGGATTTCTCTCGCTCGCTATCGCTTTACACACGTCTTATAGGTGCCGTCACTCACTGCGCATTGATAGGTACAGGAATAGTGGAATACTCTACAACATGTGCTCATCTCTTGTATTAGCTGCCAATTAAGGTGCGACGACGACCTTAATTGGGTGATCCAACTCTTGTGACCACCGCACCTCGTTGTAGCCTTTCAACAAGAGATGTATATAAAACAACTACCCCCAGATATTTGAAACAAGGGATATTGACGAAATTTGCAAAGATCAACTGGTCCTGATGGCGATCTCGCCTCAACAAATCAGGTATTCTATCTTAGCTAGGATGTGACAGGTAGCTCAAATCTTGTAGGCTTTGCCGGTGCGATTGCGAACCACGATCGAATTCTGACCCAACTAAGTAGATGCAAGAAAGACTCTCTCTCTCTGGCCCAATAGTTTGTTGTGTCGCCAAGGATGGGTTCATCTGAAGTCCCTTCGCGTGATAGCAAGTTCGATTTTCATCCCCCAACCGCAATACCAGATACAACGGGTCCCTAAATTGTCAAAACCGGTGCAGACGAAGTCCCTCGGTGATTTGGATGACGGTTTTGGCTGACATGACGCCTACTTTGTTGCTTTGACTTAGTCTTCGTCCTACGTGACAGTAATGTGGCACTGGAAGCAAAATATAAAAATTTAAAATTTAAAAAATGTGGGACCTACATGTCAATCAGATAAAACATAACAAACAGTGGGACCCACATGTCAATCAAATAAAACATAACAAATAGTGGGACCCACATGTCAGTGGGTCCCACCCCCACTCAATCTCCATGGCGCGTCGGCACCTCCTTCTCCTCTCTCCCTCCTGGCTATCCTTCTTTCCTCCTGGAGCTCCCTTGTCAGCCACCCAGCGAGCGCGGAGAGGGAGAAGGGTGGGGAGGGGCGGCCAGCCCTTCTCGTCATTGCTTGTGACGTCCACAATGGGACCTGCAATCGCTGGGAGGGGCGTCTCGAGGACCCAAAGCCGGCCAAGCTGTTAGTCAATCGATGACTGGAGCGAGGATATGTAGGAGTTGAGGTCGCCCCAGGTGAAGGGCGAGCAGGCAGCAGTGAGGACGTCGAAGGCCTCTTGTAGTGCCTTCTTTGTGGCGAGGGCGGCGATAGAGACCTCAATCTCCCCAGTCGTCATCTCCACTGGCCGGCCGTGCAACGCATGTGTGGAAAGGGGGCTCAGGTTTTGGATCACTGTCAGCGGCGACAACAACTACCCCGCATCGCGATGAGGTACATCACGACACCCTATGGCCACCGCCCCTCGACCTTCTCCCTCTTTGCGTGCGCTCGTGCATGGAGACAGAGAGGAGGGTGGGACCCACTGGCATGTGGATGCTACTCTTTTTTTTTATCTTTTGTCTTACTGACATGTGAACCCCACCTTTTATTTTAATTTTTAATTTTTATATTTTGCTTCTAGTGTCATATCACCGTCACTTGAACGCCACGTCAGCCAAAAACACCATCTAAACCATCGAGAGAACTTGTTTGCACTGATTTTGACAGTTAAGGGACCCGTTGTATCGGTTTAGGGAAGACAATCGAACTCGCTGTCAAGTTAAGGGACTTAAAATGGACATATTCCTTCATCTGTCGCATCGCATGGCCCATCTCTGATTGAATATTGGGCCTAATTTGCGCGATCACACGCTGTAAAGTATTGGGCCAAAAGGGCTAGGGCCCATAAGATATCCCATTCCCAATATGCTTCACACACGACGTCAAATCCCTCGTAAACTAGTTTCTCACACGCAAATCCGTGAGCAAGCATCAGTTTGGTTTTGGAGTTTGGCAGTGTGCATGTCGGCAGAAGCTTTCCGCAGTTCCGCTATCCACAAGAAAAGATTGGTTTAGAGTTTGAACCGAACGAACCACGCAATTTTTTTTCACGTGTTTGGAGTGCGTATATGTTTCTGTTTTCAGAAACAATAAAGATAGAATCAGATAACTCTCATCGTCAAATGCGGCATGTGCATTTGTGTCGCGCCGTCCGTCGACGGCGAGGGGTTTGGTGTCGACGCCTGCTAGCTGCACGTACGTCTGCACCGTCCACACCGCTCTAGTACTCCTATTTCATTTCGGCGCAATAACGCCGAGCCATGTGCATATATCATCGCAGTTTGTGCCACAGAGACTTCTTTTGTCTTTACCGCTCTGCGTGCATAGCACCAGGATCCTCTGTCATTGACCACCACCCACGGTCAAGCCAAAAAATTAAAAAAACTCCATCTATTCTTTAAAAAAAGATATATTTTTACTAGTTGAAATACATGTTAAATAAAGAGATTAAAAGCCAACTAAAACAAGGAGAGAGAGAGAGAGGGAGTACTATCGGTTCCATAGCTTAAAAACACGAACAAAGGGATTCTTAGTCTATTTTAAACACCTTTAAACTATAATTTTTTAAAAAACAAATGATTAGTCTAAAACTATTTTTTTTCCAGAAACAAAGGGAGTAGAAGCTCACGTAAATTTTGTTTTTATTGTGGCGAGCTATACCTGTTGTCATGTTTTCTGAAGTGGAACTTGCACTTGTTTTTCGTCCGAGTGGCGACGGCTCAAATTCTTTTTCTGCACCAGAATAATTATACAACTTCCGCCCACTTGCACCATGGTAATAAGGATTTGCATGGCTAATTAGTTGACTTGACTGGCTACAATGAGCTACCGACTGTGGCACAGTACAACCTCTTTCGAATTCATAATATGGTCATCTAGAAGACTAGAACGATAGTGATACGTTATTTAGCTGCATGTGATACACTAGCGCTGCTCCCTCCGTTTTAAAATAAAAATGTTTTTCGTATTTAAAATTTATATCAAAATATAAACACCTCTAACACTGCTCACAGTAATGTTTGTCTCATACACCTCTAACACAAACAAAATTCACATCTTAAAGACAGAAAATATCAATGCATCAAGTGAAAAAAAAAATAATAGAGGTAGTATATGTAGACAACAAGAAAAGAAAACGCTTGGTTTTACATGCCAAAGTTAAACATGTCACCATATCAGACATGAAACGTTTATTTATCTTTGAGCTTCTTGGAAGAATTGGTCACATTAATTTTGAGCCCTTTTCTAGCTACCGCTTGTAAGCCAACGAAGAGCCGAGCTCATATAAAGGCGTCATGTCATTTTCTTCGAGTATGCCAATGCCTCAATCGAATTTGTTGTATTCTTATGCATGTCGATTATCCTTTTTCTCCCTTGTGAATGTTACACAATGGAAATGATGTACATTTTTCACGAGAACGATAGCATCAGCTTGTAAAGTCGTCATAAGAGGGAAGGAGGTTGGAAAAGTAGCTTAGTCATAGCAAGTTAGAAAGGTAAGATAGTTAAGACAATTTATTTAGAATTTGAAAGGAGTCCCCTTAATTTCAAAGAAAAAATAAATGGAAAGGAGTTTTTTTAAAGAAAGGTCAAGGGGGGAGGAGGGAGTTTCTCCACCTGAATTTCATTTCAGAATATAGAAAGGAACACAAGATATTGTCAAATCACAGAACGAAGAATAGACGAGGAAAGAGTTTCCTTCCAAGAGAAAACAACGAAAAAGTATTCGGCTTAACTATCTCTTCTTTTTACAAAATTGATTCAAATTTCTACCTTTTGATCTGTTTGGAGTAGTGCTCCCCCAAGCTCGTTGTCTTCGTCGTTGCAGGTGATGGTTAGGGTCTCCCAAAGCCCTAATGGTAGCTTCAAAAGCTCTCCCATTTTTTAAAATTGAAGAATAATACTACATCTTTGCTGTAGGCAAAAATATATAGCTAGGTGCTCCTCGCGGAAAATATATATATAGGCGTATAGCTAGATGCTGGCTGCCGACGGCTGGGAATAAAAGATGGTGCACATTCATATCACTCTTTAGTATGCTTTAATTTCTTTGCCTCTTTTCCCCTGCTGAAAAAAGGAATATATTTTCTGAATAAAAAGAAAAAAAACAGTGTGCTCTTGTATTCACTAAAACGGAGTGCTTTTCTATTCAGAGTTCAGACATACTTTACGAATACCTTACAAAATTCTTTTTTTTTTACCGTTCAACAGTAACAGAATATATTGATTTAATCGACGCATGTACAAGTAAACAAAGAAATGTTGTAACTAAGTTTAAAGCTTTAAGACAAGATCATGCCCAAGTGCTCATTCCAAAGAAAAGGGAAGAAATAACAATAGAAAATAAAACCCAGTCCCGTCAAGGATAACAAGTGGACACTAGCTAATGAACAATGACATATACTGAATTACAGAACGAATAATATAGGGGGTAATTAATTAAACCCGTCATTTTGTCTTGGTACATGATAGTACATCTCCATGATGGGACCAATAATGGATTGTTTCTTCCCAGCAAGAGCGATTGATTAACCAGGTCTCACCTGTTCACACACAAGGAGGACAAGGCAGCGCCATGGATGGATCAATCCAACACTGCAGCTAGCTGCTTCTAGCTAGCAAAGTAGTTGTAATCAGTGAGCACCCGCATGCGCGACGCGCCGCGTTTCCTCGTGGCGCGCGCCTATGCCGGGGCGCGCGCCGAGCGCGGCGTGGCCGGCGCGTCGGACGGCGGCTCGACGTTCAGGTCGAGGCCGGGCGCCGGGCGCCGGGGCGGGGTGGCGTTCTCGGCGACGCGCTCGTGGTCGGCGGGCTGCTGCGGCGGCGGCGGCGCCTGCTTGGGCGGCGCGTCGGCGAAGTCCTCCCAGGAGAAGCTGGGGCGCCACGCCGGCGCGCGCGGCGGGGGAGGGCGGGCGCCGAGCCGTCGGGTGGCGTCGCGCATGCGGCGGAGGATGGCGTAGAACTCCTCGACCTCGGCGTCGGAGACCTCGTCGACGGTGGTGGGGGCGTCGTCGGCGATGTCGGAGGCGGCTGGGCGCTTGCGCTTGGCGGTGGTGGTGGCGTCCATGGTGGTGGTGTTCGTCACAGCATAGACGTTTGGTGGGGGGTGGGTGCGTGTGGCCGTGTTTGTAGTATAGTAGAATAGAAATGAGGAGTGTTTCCTAAGAAAAGGAGAGAAAATTTTGTGGTGGTTTACTACTCCATATTTTTAATAAACAATGTTGTGACTTTTTATCACACGTTTGACTATTCATCTTAATTAAGAAATTTGCGTAATTATAATTTATTTTTGTTGTGAGTTGATTTATCACTTAAAATATATTTTAAGCTTGATTTATATCTTATATATTTGCATAAAATTTTTAAATAAGGCACACCATTGACTATTTACCTTATTATTATTAGGGCATGTTATTTACTACACCTTACAGTACATTTTGATATCGGAACATATGCTAAATAAATAAAACAAGATTATTTGATACGCCATATTATACGGCTTTCTTTTTTTATTACACTATAAAAGAATTGTTTATGTTATGTGAAATGCGCAACCTTCTTTGAGAAAAAACAGAAAACAAAAACCCAAGCGGTTGGTTAATTAAAAAAACAGTTCGATAAATTGTTTTACGTTGATCCACATTTCCGGTCCATCCATAATTATATGGGCCATTGTAATACACCAACTCATCACTAAAGTGTGGTTATCTTCAAAAATATGGTAAAAACGACATTTATGGATAAACACCAGAAGTGAATTTCTCGTGTATATTAATATTTTTCGAAAGACAGGCCCCTTGCAAAGTCAACAATTCATACGAGATGGCAATTTCCTTTCGTTCATCCAAAATCTAATAGGAAGATTTTGTTGATGTTCCAAATCCCCACTCAAAATGAATCAATGTGTAAAAAAGTGAGGTTTAAGAAAACTTTTATTGGTTTATCGTCACAACAATTATTCTGCCGACCTCTTATACCCAAAACAATTGGAATTTCACGCCTCAGTTTACCACAAGTGTTAAACTTTGGAGTATTTTTCTAATTATAACATTTACTTTCTCGTGTGAAAATCCAATCGACACCATTTTAGCGGGGCTAATTAACTCTATAGAAAACAGATCAATTAAGTTAGGTCTACAAACATGCGGAGGACAAGTCGAATAACACTTCTCTTCAATCAAGTTAATTAGCAAGCATGATATGCATGGTGGGTGTGATATCTATGCTCATATCCTTTGTCATGTGGTATCTTAAGCACGAGCAGGACCATACTCGATCGTATCTGATACTCCTATGCGTAGAACGTATTACTCCGTATAATTGGATAACCGGAGTGAATGTCAATCCGTACTGTACGATGAACTTTGATACTCCCTATGTCCCACTACCTTCATATACATGTATAAAAACTACTTCGTATGTTTCATATTATAAGTCGTTTGAATTTTTTTCTTAGTCAAATTTTTTTATGTTTAACCAAATTTATAGAAAAAGTTAGCAATATATATCTACGGTATAGAATTAGTGTCATTATCATGTTTGTTTTGTATTGAAAGTGTTACTTTATTTTGCTATAAACTTTATCAAATTTAAATAAATTTGACAGATAAAAATGTTAAACAACTTACAATAAGAAATGAGGGAGTAACTTATTTTAGAACCGAAGGAGTTATTTGTGTTTACCTCCATGGCTCCATGTACTGCTAGCTAGATGAACATATCTCAGCGTTAGGGACCATTCTGCAGATTTGATCAGAAATTGATGAGCCCCAATCGAATCGAATTGAATAGGGTGCAGTACCCCCAAAATATTGATCGATCATTAGCTACCCTTCTACTCTGGCCATCACTCTGGAATAGTAGTATGTGAATGTATGATCTGGAGTGCAACCAGCAGGACATTAACCTCATTGTGCTAGAGTTACTATTACAAGTTAAAAAATGTTTATTTTTCATGAGAATGATATAGCAATATACTACAAGTGAGAATGTACTGAGAAGGGTGTAACAGTAAAGAAAAATAATAAAAGATAGCTGGTGTCACTGAGTTTGTTTATTACTACTAGTATAATCTATAGAAGGACTTAAGAGATTTGGACTATGAGGTCTTTTTCTTTTTTTGGAGAAAGAGGGGACTTTGAACTTTGAAGTCTTGGTCAGTACTAGTATTAATATACTGTCACGTAAAGTCAGTATGTGCTCAATACGTATAAATTAAAAACGAGTACTCCAGCACCTAAACAGTTTCGTGTCGTCACAAAGCTGACGTATAACAGTTCAGTTGCTAGGCGTCATCAGGGGAGAGAAAAGCTAGAAGAAGAGGTTTGAAAAGTCTTAGCTATGCCCTGTCCACAAGCACAAAGAAATTGACAAATCGCATAGCGAGTGGTTAGTACTATTCTACAAGCTGGTTTGGAACTGAACATCTTTAGAAAACGAGACTCCATGATAGTCTTCTTAGCTTAATCAATATGGTTGTTCCCTTCATATTTCTTCTTCGAATCCACTGATACGATTGTACTCAAGCGTGCAGCTTTTGTGGACAACTCGTGAGAGAGAGAAAAAACAGTAAAGCTGGTGGTGCACTTGGGCTTGCTAAAGTGCGAATCTATGAGCTTTGGAAATCATATCATCAACTGGATAAAAGGTAACTAGTAGATAATTAAATTCTAGTGATAGATTCGCAACTACTAGTAGTAACTTGCAAGCATGAAATTGTCTATTGGTAAAGCAATGAATTTCTAGCACTGTTTGTTACAGTATGAGATGCAGAGACGATGGAGTCACTGTATATGAATGATGCAGCTTAAGCAAATTGCTTTCATAATTACTGTAAGATGCTTCAAGACTGGGGTCCCAATCCTTTATTCTTAGGTCACACATACCCTCAAACCAACCAATGCTGAACCAATTAATTTGTCGACCACCAGCCCACTACGAATTTCCTTTTCACCGCGACAAAACAGCGCAACTGTACCATCCACGTCGATATTATGTGCCTAGATTCCAAGACAAAGAGGCGGTGAAACTGATCTTCACGGAGCGTTTTCCTAATGCGACCCGGTTGTGTCTGTAAGCAACAACATGAGTGGCAAGGAGCAATCGTGAATGGTGATTGACACGGCGGGGGAAAGAGGGATGAAGAGCAGAGATTGCATGTGCATTAGCTTCGATTGATAAACCGCAGGAAAATGAACAAAGTAACAAATACTATAATTTATAAATAAAACTTTTATGTTGATATATTAATAATGGACTAAAAGTAGATATTGAAAAATATATACCACAATCTATATTACTATTATAAAACTGTGATGGTGAGTCTGCCACCCACAACCACAACGGAGATGTGGGCCATTAATATTCTGTTTGCTATTTGTATCATGTAGGTTGCATCTCTTTAATTTTCTAAGCATAGCAAGATGAAAGATCTTGTTTCAATAACTAAAAATATTTTTTTGCAAGGACTTAATTTTGTTATTTTCAATAATCCATTGCAAGCACGGGCATTTAGCTAATGAAAGAAAAATTAAAAATACAACCACACAATTAAGTAGTAAAATTTTGCATTTGTCTTCTAAGCCAATAAACAGATAATAATAGCCTCTCGATTTGCCAAACTTGGTGGTTGTTACTCCTCTACTGCCGTGCTTTCTCTATGAACAAAAAAAATGGGCATTTGGCCAACTATCTTTGGGCCGGCAAAGAAAAGTTGTTCTGTTGAACCAAAAGAGCCGAGCTTGAAACAATAGAAAAAATGAAGGAAAGGAGCTAATGCATCAGAGATCTTTTATCTGATTTCAGAGAAATCTTCCTAGTAGTTGAGGATCATTACCTCAAGGAGAAACTCAAGAAAAAAAAAAGTACTCCGGCTTGCTTGGTGTCAATCACAATAACTATAATCGTATCAAATGCTCGTTTGTTAGATTGGGTGTACATTGCACCCTCGTTTTGGCGTGTGATTTTCACGGTGTTGGGCACTTGGGTGTATGCCTTTCAACTAACACATTATTTAATGACAAAAAATATATAAGTAAAGACACTTGACTCTTTTCTTTGACCAACGCTCCATTTGGTTTCGTTCTTTGGATGAGCTACTTCACGTTTTCACGGCTAAACGATGTGCTTTTTAAAACCATTTTTTAAACTTATAATAGCTAATATCAAATTAATCATGTACAAATAATGGAATGAAACTAAAATTAACAACCCGAGCGTTTATTTCCCAGGGCATTGGTGGAGCAGAATGGTTTGGCTTTGCCTTCTCTCCGGCAAAGAAAATATCCGCAATAGCGACGACCTTTCTCTGAAGAATCAGGAATGGAGGCCATACGTACTGACCTCACCTGCTTACATTCAGAGATGTGACGTCAAGCCAATTGCTTTGGTATGACATCACTGACATTTCCTTGTTCCCAGGTCCACTGGGTCGCAGCAAATGCTGGCTCGTGAGAGCAGGTATAATAGCAGGCTATAAGCTAGCTGCAAACATATTTTAAAGAGATAAATGAGGAGAGAGAAGGGCAGCGGGCTACAGATTTATAGCCAGCTGTAGCACAGAATCCAAGACACAATGTATGCATGACAGATGGGACCAGATATTAATAGTGTAGTATATAACTATTGTATGAATGAGCTATTAGATTAGCTATAGATGAATTGGAGCTAGTAGTTGGCTCCTATTGAACTTGCTCGAGGTGACCTTGACTAGGGATGAGAGCCATGGCCGGCCAGGTCAAGGTCTCCTTAAATAAAACTGTATATCTACAGACACCAAGCAAGCGACCGGACGGATCGGTCAATTCGTTAATTTCGCTGTATGCTTCTGTAATGGTATATTTTGGGGCTAATAATGCTCCAGCTTAGCCAAAAGTGTACTGTTCTGCAACCCAACACGACGTGCTGCTGTTGTGCTAAAGCTAACCGCTTTCTAATTGGCTATTCACTCCTTTGTAAAATAAAGGTACTACCTCTATCCCAAAAATAAAGGCAACTATTAATATATCTAACGTTTGACCGTCAATCTTATTTGAAAAATTTAAAAAAAAGTCGCACATAACCTACTATTTATATTTTATATCTAATGATAATAAAAATATTAATTATAAAAAAGTTTTAAATAAAACAAACAATCAAACGTTGGAGA